TACTGACCAATCAGATTCAGCTCCTACGTCAGGTACAGACACTACTGACCAATCAGATTCAGCTCCTACATCAGGTACAGACACTACTGACCAATCAGATTCAGCGCTTACGTCAGGTACAGACACTACTGACCAATCAGATTCAGCTCCTACATCAGGTACAGACACTACTGACCAATCAGATTCAGCTCCTACGTCAGGTACAGACACTACTGACTAATCAGATTCAGATTTTACATCAGGTATAAACACTACTGACCAATCAGATTCAGCTCCTACGTCAAGTACAGACACTACTGACCAATCAGATTCAGCTCCTACATCAGGTACAGACACTACTGACCAATCAGATTCAGATTTTACATCAGGTATAAACACTACTGACCAATCAGATTCAGCTCCTACGTCAGGTACAGACACTACTGACCAATCAGATTCAGACTCACCTTTTACTGACCAATCAGACACAGCTTTTACATCAGGTACAGAAACGACTGACCAATCAGATTCAGCTTTTACATCAGGTACAGACACTACTGACCAGTCAGATTCAGACTCACCTTTTACTGACCAATCAGACACAGCTTTTACATCAGGTACAGAAACGACTGACCAATCAGATTCAGCTTTTGTATCAGGTACAGAAGTTACTGACCAATCAGATTTAGCATTTACATCAGGTGTGAAAGTTCTGACCAATCAGATTTAAGATTTACGTCAGGTGTGAACAGTACTGACCAGTCGGTCTGTGTCAGGCGAGGTGTGTTTGGAGGCCGATCTGGTGGTGTTCTGGAGGCTAATAAGGTTGTGTTTCGTCCTGAACTCTGCTGTGACCTGTTCTCTCTCTCAGAGCTCTGTTTGATTACGACAAGACGGCGGACGGTGGGTATCTGAGTCAGGCGGTCAGTTTCCGGTTCGGTGATGTCCTGCACGTGCTGGAATGCAGTGATGATGAATGGTGGCAGGCTCGGAGACTCTCCCCACACGGAGACCTGGAGGAGGCCGGATACATCCCTAGCAAGAGGAGGTGGGTGGGGGGGTTCAGACTGGACCCTTTACAGTCTTCGTGCAGTCTGTGTAGCTGTGATAGATCACACTGACTGAGGACTACTGGACAGCTGCACATCTGCGCAGACACAACGCTCCATCTGTGTTTATTTATTTCGATACTGCATGTTTAGTCATCTCATCGTTAATTCTGGTTGCTACATAAAACATTTCGTTATCAGTAGTGTGGCATTGTTTCACCAGCTGGGGGTCCGCGCCCCAATTCACCACTCTAATAATGTATAATATAACAATAGACAGCAGACAGAATGAAAAACACTGGACAAACAGCTGGACAGCATATCAGCCTATAGATAAACAGAACAAGACCACCTGAACCCCATCACAACCAGCCTGTTCAACAGCCCAGCACTCAACGCATAACAGCTAATATATCGCTACTGTCAGAGCAAAACCTCGTATCTCCAAAACAATAACTTTACAGGAGAAGCAAAAAACACCCTTTACTTTTAATGGAAGTCAATGGAACCAGACGTTTTCCCATGTCATTTTGGGCCGTTTCCTTTGGTCCTTTCATTCTGAAATTTACACACAATGTAAAGAACGACAGGACCTTTCAAACCATGTCAAAAACTGAAAAACGACAAAAATGGAGATATAAGGTTTTGCTCTAGTCTACCGGGACCATTACACACCGGGACCAGACGCGATCTCCTAACGAGAGTAGATGTCTGGGACCATCTGTCAAACCTTTGGTTCTGGAAAACACGTTTGTGTTTCGGTTGTCAGGCTTGTTGGTCAGAGAGGAGCTGACGAACATAGCTAGCTAGCTAAGGCAGTGATAGCTCGCTAAGGCTATCTTCTTCTTTAGCTGGGCAGCACAGAAAAAGGGCTGACATGAAGATGTGGGTTCACACAGAAAGTACTGACCAATCAGATTGTGTCAGGCTTTCACTGAGGTCTGTTTGGAGGCTGACTTGTTTACTGAACTGGTGAATGCGTGAATAGTGAGGCTAGCTATGTTTACCTTAGCTGGGCAGCACAGAAAAAGGGCTAGGTTAGCTAGCTAAGCTAAGAGCCCGCTGGAACCAAATGTTTGTTTTTATTCATTCGTTTATGAATTGTAACTTAGCTAATCAATTACAGCCATTTCCTCTTTTCTTTCTCGTCTCAAGGAAAGCGGTTAAATGATAATTGAGTAGTTTTTTGGTCTCAGATTTATTCAAACAACAAGCTACTCAACACTGCGGAAAGATGAGAGCCTCAGGCAGCGCAGGAGAGGCTTGGATTGAACGTACGGCCGATACATCACATCTTAACAGACGGATAGCTGGTCTTTTTTAACCGCTGGACAGTGTTGACGAGTGCAACAGCGCCCCCTACCTTAAGCTCCATCATCATTATTGGTTTACAGTTCGTTCCCACCCTAATAAGTTCCCACCCACATTCAGCCCAGAATTCCTCACAGTTGTCCCCCCCAGATGTTCTTGTTGGAATATCACATCTGGCTCTGTGAGAATTCCAGTATATCCAGAGCATCGGCTGCAGAGTTGAAGATCATAACCAGGATAATCCGGGAGCCGTATTACAGAACCTTCTTAACTCCGAAATCTGACCTGTTTGGTCTCCATGACGACTGAGTCTATGACAGTAGCTATTCCAGAATAACAGTTCCTACCTTCATAATCTCATCATGAACTCCAGATAAGAAAACAGCATCACACAAACATCCTAACTAGACTGAACCTCCTAAATCCTGTCCTAACTTTAGGATGAACCCCAACAGGGTCCTCACTTCTGTTTAAGGTCCGTTTCTATGGTTTTTAGGCAGCTGAGTCAGCAGCATAGTTCACTACCAGCATAATGAGCTCCATTTATTCCTACTGTAAAACGCTGCTTTCACTGTGAGATGATTTTCTTTTCTAACTCTGCGTTTTAAAGATCTCAGACGCTGCAGACTCGATCTCCACCGCCCCTCTGATCACCTTCGTGTGTTAATGTTGATGATGAAATATTACAGTGATGGTGGTGAATAATGAGGAGACGGAGCTGAACGTGTGTCTGTTTATTAGGAGGAGTAACGTTAGCGTGTTTGGGAAATGGAGACTGAAACTGGGGAGCGGTGACGCTCTGATAAACAGCAGGGGGCGCTCTCACAGTATTCAAACATCAGTAACAGTAGCTGTCTGGCTAACTAACTGATTGTCGACTTCGATTGAGTAGGTTAAGATTTCTAACTGGAGATAAGATGCTGTGCGATAAGATAAGATTCCTAAATTAAGATCAGATTTGCTTCTGTAATATGAATCTATGAAAAATCTTATCTTGACCCGTCAGATCTGAACTCAGGGCTAAAGCGTTCAGAGTGAACACGAGTTACGTCCAAGAATTCTCTCAAATTGTTTTAAAGTTAGCATCTCTGCTGTATTAGCAGGTTGTACTATGCTAGCCAAGGCAGTGTTTTTCTGCGCTGCTGTTGTCTAAGTGCAGTGCTCTTAGTCTGATGGAGAGTTGGGAAGCCCACCCCTAGAGGGCGCTGTGGCACAAACAGAGACCACGGCCGCAGCTTCTGCAGTAAATGCTGGTGTAACTGCCATTTTTTGACCTTCTAGCCAGTTTTACAGACATATATCGAACAAAAATGATGTCTTAAGTAGAAAATAATTCTATTTTTTCAAATTGTATGGATTATTTTCACTTGTGGTAGCAGGTAGCGCCCCCTAATGGAGGGAACACCCCAGTTCAGTATACCTCAGTAGTCTGAAGAGGCCTGTTTCGGACGTAACTGTGATGTTTACTGTATTATCATCTGTGTGTTATTAACTGCACTGTAAAGGCAGTGCAGCAGTGACGTGTCTCTGTTTGTGTCTGTCAGAGTGGAGAGGAAGGAGTGGTCCCGCCTGCGCTCTAAGGGGAGGGACAGCATAGGTAAGAGTGTCTCACTCAATAACGTAGACCTGCCTACAGAGCTCTGAGTAGTGAGTCACTCTGTGGGCGGAGTCATGCCCATATTAGGAGCTCTGAGCTCTCTAATCATCCCTGTTACAGCCTGTGGTGAAGAAAACCCTCCGAAACCGAGACGATTTCCTTCTGAACACATTTCGAAATGTGATTTTTCTGGATTCTGAATTATGAGGTCGTTAAGAAGTTTAAACATGAACATTGACACGTCTGTGCTAATAATAGCAACATTCCTGCTCACTGAAATGACTAGCATTAAACTGTTATATGCAGTCGTGTGAAAAAGTTTGTGCACCCCCCCCAGTCAAGATCCATGTTGTTGTTGATGTAAATAAGTTACACTTCCTCTACAGAGACACTACTGCACACTTTAATACACAGTTACTGTTTATTTACCGAATTTAACACATTGAGAGAAAAACAAAAAGGTATTACGAATAATGTAATAGATAAAATGTGGCCTGCGTGAAAATTATGACACATTTTATATTTTATGGTTTTTTTTTCCAATATGTTAAACTCAGCAAGTAAGTAGGAACCTTGAAGTAAATTAATAACTGCATTAAAAACTGCAGCCTAAAACTGCCAAAGCCTCTAAACCACCACGCTGGACTAAGCCTGCTGACCTGTGTGGCGTTTGCATGTAGCAGTGTTTGTATTTCAGCTACCTAAGGGTCTCATAATTCAGAGGATTCAGTGACGTTCGGAGGGAAAATATCACCTCTGGAGTATTTTTGCTCAGCACAGAGTGAGAGAGCAGCGATTTCCACACCCCCCATTCATTTCCCCCATAGAGCCAAGCAGCTTAGAGCCAGAGGTCCTAACGTGGACTACAGAGTGACCCTCCACTTCTGTGGCTCGTGTGTTTTGTCAACTGATAACCAGTAATCTGTGTGTTTATCGCAGGACGGGACGACTACATTCAGAGTTATGAGATTGTAACGCAGATAGAAGGTCAGTGATCAGTGACTGTCCGCTGTCCACAGCGTCTCGCTCTCTGTGTAATAAATATTATAACGAACTTTAATGAGGTGACTGACTGTAAAGTCTCTCTCTCTGGTTTTCAGTGCACTACGCTCGCCCCATCATAATCCTCGGCCCGATGAAGGACCGCGTCAACGACGACCTCCTGTCCGAGTTCCCGGACAAGTTTGGCTCCTGCGTCCCCCGTGAGTGACCCCCGTCACCATGACGACAGCCTGTGGTTTCAGTTTGTTTGGATAAGTGAATTTCTTAACTTACGTTGTTGAACCTCTAGCTTACTGCATGGTAGATAACACTAAGGTCACCTAGCATTAGCAAGCTAATCATTAAGATCACAGAAACATGGACCGTTTGGGTTAAGAATTGTGTGGTCAGTTCTGTAGGAAACTAAATGATATGGATCTGGTTCAGAATTATTATAAACAGCTTTAATGGAAAATATCTGAAAGCAGTCTGAGAGGTCAGTTTCGTCCAGCACACACGCACCTCTGATTGGCGTAACGTCCTGCAGATACGACGCGGCCCAAGCGGGACTACGAGATGGATGGGCGGGACTACCACTTTGTGTCGTCACGGGAACAGATGGAGAAGGACATCCAGAGCCATCGGTTCATCGAGGCCGGGCAGTACAACAGCCACCTGTACGGGACGAGCGTACAGAGCGTCCGAGAGGTGGCTGAACAGGTGAAAGAGAGAGAGAGAGGGAGAGAGAGAGTCCACTTACAGCACTGTGCAAAACTCAGAGACCCCCTTCATTTATTCCATTTACCGTCAAAACAGCCATTCAGTACAAGTTATTCATTTTTAACTGAAAATTACCCAGAATCCTCAGCAGTGAGTCACTCTTTCCCTTCATTCCAGCTTCCACTCTTCTCAGGAGACTCACTTTCAGCTCCTCAAAGAATCTGCAGACACACCTCCAAAGTTCAGTCTTAGAAGCTGGTTGATCATTTTCTGAAGTAATCAAACACATTCAGTGGTGTTGAGGTCTGGACTCTGGGGTGGTCAGTCCATCGTTCAGCTTCTTTGTTTGATGTGTCCGTCTCCTTTTCTCAGTGAGGTTCTTCTTGATCAGCTACACATCCTTTCAGACCCACAGCGCTGAGTCGTCTTCTCACAGTGGAAGGATGGACAGAAACACCTGTGGATGTTTTCAGATCTGATCAGCTTGATTTTCTCCTCTCTCTCAGAGATGAAAGCTTTAAGTGCTGTTTATCTGATGGGGGCAGTTTTGGGGTCGACCAGCTCTTCCAGGTGGTAGTTAGGAGACACATTTTCTCTGGAGGTTTTAATCAGTTTTTGAAGCTCCAGTTTTGGAAACATATTTCACTTTGACCTTCTTCCTTACACAAACATCACATCTCCTCACAAACATCTGGAAAATGGAGATTAATACTGAAAGGCTGTTTTGACAGGAAATTAAATAAATGAAGAGGGTCTCTGACCTCTGAGCAGTACTGTATATCCATATATGTACATACATACATATATATTAAATGTGGATATTTGTGGGGGGTGGAGTGTATTTAAGGTATCAGGAGTTAGTAAATGGGAAAGTCAGACAATTTTTCACTGTTATTAAGGTCTGTATAATGTGTGTGTGTGTGTGTGTGTGTGTGTGTGTGTGTGTGTGTGAGAGCAGCAGGGGAAACACTGTATCCTGGATGTTTCTGCGAATGCAGTGCGAAGACTGCAGGCAGCGCAGTTACATCCCATCGCAATCTTCATCAGACCAACCTCGCTGCAAAACATACTGTAAGAGCTGATTCTCATTGATGATTAATACATGACCAGGAATTCTTTTTATGATGCTGTTATTACCATACATTCCAAATACCAACTGACATTGAATTAATTTCCAACATTTGTAAATGTTGGGTCGTACAATTTACTGAGTATAAGTTGGATTTGTTTGGTCTTTTTTTCCATAAAAGGATGTTTTAGAGAAAAAGGAGATTTTATGGTGCTGTGCTATGATTGTGCACAATTTACCAAATACTCCACTTAAAAAATATATACATAGATTTTTTTAAATATTCCCATTATTTAAGCAATTTTAAATAGCAAAAACACATTAAAACATTTTTATCATGTTTAAGTAGTAATTCATGCTATAGAGGTTTAATGTATGCTGGTCTGTGCTGCATTTACACTGTACATTGATCCCCTTACATGGCCAGGACACGCCGGCGGCCCAGAGCTTCATCACACACTTCTATAGCCTCAGAGTAGCTCAGCCAGTTTGCACTGAAGTCCCTGTAGTTGCTGAATAATAAGCCTAAAGCCCAGTTTGGACAGGATTAGTTCTCCATGTGGAGGTGGCTAATAAGAGTTTATCTCGGGACGTCTGTCATGTTTCTGACTGATTCACACGGAATAAGAAATCTCTGAATGACAGAGACGGAGCGGCTACTCGATTTACGCACCGCATTTCAGGAAAGAGTAGAAAAGTTCAGCTATTATTCTGTTTAACTGTGCATCTTTCTGTCTTACATGAATGCAGTGTGTCATTAGCATCACCATTAGCTTGGATATCCACAGCAAGCA